GGACACAGCCCGCCTGCTGACCGTGCTTTCTGGTCCAGGAATAGAAACGCTGCTCCTCCCGGCTTCAGAGCTGCATCTGCAGCCTCAGCGCCTCCCTCCCCAGCTTGACGCAGCCCATGGAGCCAGTCGCCCGGCCCGGCATCGCCGTCTGTCCGTCTGTCTGGCTGGCTTCCTCTCTGAAACCCGACAGACTCCCTCTGGGCCCCAGGAAACTGCCCTGCGCTGCTGCTGGTAGGTAGCAACCTCTTTTCAGAGCACCTTTGGAGGTGGGGGTCTCTAAATCAGCCCCCCCATGGGGGCAGGAGGAAGAGGGCAGGTGCGATGTGTCTACATCCCAGGGTTAAGTCCCTCCACTTTAGCAAGGCTGTCGCCACGCCTCCACGCGGGAGCCCCGGTTCCCTCTGGCCAGCTCTGTAAGAGGGATGCGCACATAGCACACCTGTGTGCCCAGCACTGGGCCTGATACACTGCACACCACTGAGGGAGAGACAAAGGAGGAGGGAGGAGGGGGAGGGGGAGAAAGGAGAGGAGGTAATGCATCAACCTGGAAGGAAACGGCTAACCAACAGACGGTGCTCTAAATGGGAGCAAAAGGGCCACATCTGTCCGCGTCTGGATGCTGCGGGCTGGGAACTCATGGACTGAAGCGCCGTCTCTCACTCTCGGTCTGACGTCCGCCTGCCCGGACCTCCCAGGTGCTGGTGAGAATGGAGATGCCTGGGTCCCGCCCAGACCGGAGTGGGCCTGGCAGTCGGAATGTCCACGCGTAAATGTTTCTGTACAGCAGCGTCTGGGAGCTGCCACTGGGCCGACGGGCGGCCACGGAAAGTTGGCTCCCAGAGTAGTTCTGTTCACCACGGGGTCCCCGGGGCCTGGAACGGCGGCGCCTGGCCACAGCAGGTGCTAGAGGGCATCTGGTGACCGAAGGAGCCTGTCCATCAACCACCCGTTCCGTCAGCTTGACCGAAGACCCGCCCCGTCTGCGTGCTCTGGGGCGAGGGGACAGTGACCATCTCCCACCCCCGTGCCCAGCACGGAGCCAGCGCTTGGACATGGCCGCCAACAAGGAGGCAAGTGAGCATCCTCCATCACCATCCTGAGTGAAGGCACACATCTCTTCACTTTTAACATTTCTGAATCCACGGTGTGCGTTTCCAGCCTAACCCTGTCACCATGTATCCGGCAGTGTTACCGCCCTCTCTCTAGCAGTACGATGGGTCTCTCGATTGATGGCATCCTCCTCGGATTTAATAAAATACGGTAACTAGCCCGGCCGGTGAGGCTCAGTGGTTGAGCGTTGACCTATGAATCAGGAGGTCACGGTTCAATTCCTGGTCAGGGCACATGGCTGCGTTGCGGGCTCAGTCCCCAGTGTGAGGCCTGCAGGAGGCAGCCAATCAGTGATTCTGTCTCATCATTGATGTTTCTCTCCCTTTCCTGTCCTCTCTGACATCAATAAAAATATTTTTTAAAAAAATACGGTAACTAACAAAGTTCATTACTCTGATAAAGAAGTTAGAGTCCGATGCCAACACAGCACACAGATGGCTGTGCATTCCCCTTCTCCTGATTGGCAAAGATGAGCCCAGTGCCATCTGCTGCTGCTTTCGGTTCAGCCCCAGCAGGCGGGTCATCCAAGGCTCTGCTGCTGAGATGCAACCCAGGGCCCGCTGCAAACACAGGGCCGATGCAAACCCAGGGCCCGATGCAAACCCAGGGCCCGATGCAAATGACTGGCGCTCCCCAGTCTTCACCCAGGAAGCTTCTGACAGCAGCAGCTGGAAGGTTGCTCTACGTCTTCCCTGGAGGCCACAGGCTGGGCGGGAGGGCGGTTCTGGGCCAGACGGTGACACCCCAGCCCCACGGCCCCTGGATGTCCACCCTGGCATGTGGTCTGTCCAGGACAGCTGCCAGCTGCTCTGCTCCTTCCCCATGTGGGACCCTGGCCAGGTGACTCTCTGTCTCCGTCCCCCAACCTGGTGTGCGAGGACGGTAAGAATGGGCCACCTCCCAGGGATGCTGTCAGGACTGCGGACAGGTAATGCCCAGCACGCGGTGTGTCCACATGTCCCAGCTTCCCCAGGCGTGTCCCTGCTTCCCGCCAGTGACCACAGTGCAGACCCGAGGCACTGAGGCCAGGAACCTCCCAGCGCAGGGATGGCAGCGGGGATGCTGCCCTTCCTGCTTCCAGGTGGGAATCTCAGAGAAGGCATCGCAGTGATGAAGACGGGCACCGGGACTGTGGCTGCCCTGGCACAGGGCGTGGCTGGGGGAGGTGGCCTGCGGCTGTCTGTAGGTTAAATAAAGGTTTGGGTTTGCAGCCATGGGTGGGATTTGACTGAGCAGGAAAAAGGGATGAGGACATTCCAGAGGGCTAGGATGGAGGGCCATCCCACAGGGTCTTGTGGGATCCTCCAGACAGTAGCTGCCATGCTCAGACAGGAAATCCATCTTCTTCATTTAGGAAAGAAAATCTGGTTGGACAACTTCAAGCTGGAAGTTTATGTCTCTCTCCTTAGGGATAAAAATCGGGCTGCTCAAGAGATCAATGAGACGGAAGAGAAAATCCAAACACCGAGAACGGACACAGGAAGTCCACACCTGGGGGGGGGGGGGGCAGCAGCTGACCCACTGTGTGCAGCAGCTGACCCACTGTGTGCAGCAGCTGTCAGAAACCAATGAAACAGGATGCCCACCTGGATCCTCACAGCAGAACACCTCTCAGGTGGGTTACCACATGAAATAAACAGAGAAACCGCCAAACAAGAACATCTCCAAGAACAAACATTAACGGAGGCAGAAAGTCCGAGCAGCCACACAAGGCACCCCCGGCAAACCTCCGCAGAGGAAAACATCACAGAGCAAAAACGTCACCCCACCAGGTGGGAGCAGATCACCGTAACCTGTCACAGATAAGACTGCTGTAAGCAACACGCCAGCAGAAGCATTAGTATAAGGAGCAAAGAAGCAATTCCCCAAAAAAGGAACCGCACGTGGCCGTGCACAGACAAGATGCTCAGCCTCCCTGGTAACCAAGGGAACGCGGGCCGGGACCAGGATCCTCACTCACCCCATCGGCAAAGATTTTCAACATCCGCTGTTGGCAGGCTCGGGGAACTGCTATTCTCGTTTGCACTCGGTGGGTACAAGCTGGCACAGCCTTTCTGGAATGCCAGTTGGCAACTTCTGTGCCGTTTGTAACTGGGGGTCACTTTTGCTCAATAGCTTCACTTCGAGAGTCTACCCCCAGGGAGTGATCGGACGAGGAGATAGCCACACAGACGGAGTGGCCGGGGGCTGGACTGGCAAACGTGGCACAGCCACGCCTGGAGGCGGCGGGGGGGGGGGGGGGGAGGCTCGTCACAGCTGCCGTGTGTGAAAAGCAGGCCTCAGTGTGACCCCCACGGCTGGCATCACAGCCCTGATGGAGCTATTCACCTTCCGGTGGGCAGGAGGCTGTGTGAACAAAGGGAATTCTTAGGAAGAGAAGGTGCGATGTTCCCACGAGGCCGGGGGAGGAGAGGAGATCGGTGGAGACACAGAGGGTGGGTTTGGGCCAAGAAAGTGGAGAGGGAGGAGGCTGGAGAGAGACATGCCCGGGAAGGTGAGGTCACCACGTGCAGCGGGAAACGCACTGGCAGGACTGTTAGGACGGGTAGGGCTGAGTGCCAACAAGCAGGCGCTTCCCGCCCTCTACACCAGCACGACCAGCCCCTGGGCAAACCCGGAAGGCGACCCCATTTATAACTGAACCCAAAGCAGCTGGGAGTGAGCCGCCGCGTTCAGGAGCGGGCAGTGCACATTGTTTCTTCATTAAGGCCACAGAAGAACAACTGAGAACCAGACGGGATCGGTCTCCAGCCCGCATCCCCAAATCTCCCTGCCCTGGACCCCTCCTCATTCCCTCCCTTCCCCGGAACCCCCGCCCTTGTCCTGGCTGCCAGAGTGTCACCTTCCTCCGAGGGCTCCTCACAGTCAGCTTTTCATATCCCGTCATCCCCATGAAAACAAAGCCGATCCCTCCTTCCCAAACACCGCACCTCTGTGCTCAGCCTCTCCTGTGGTCTGGACTGCGCTTCCCCAGCCCCCGCCAGCCCCACTCTCCTTCCCTGAACTTGTCCGGTCTTCCTTCACTTCCCCTGCCCCCCATTCACCTCCCCTGGCCTCCCTTCACCCCCCCCCCCCGCCTGCATTCACCTCTCCTGGCCTCCCTTCACCCCACCCCCCCACCCCCCCACCCCCCCACCCCCGCCTCCCTTCACCTCTTTCCCTCCCCCCCCCCCCCCCGCAACCTCCCTTCACCTCCCCTGCCTCCCCTGACCTCTCCTCACCTACTCTGGCCTCCACTTACCTGTCCTTACCTCCACTCCCCCCCACCCCAGCCTCCACGCTGCCAGATGGAACCAGCATTGTGTAGCCTTATTTGACCATTAGGAGGAAGGAGTCAGGATCCTAGGCAGATAAAGGCCCAGGCCATGCCCACCTTTAAACCCTGAGCAGCTCCAGCCCTGGCCTGTGCTTCCCCCAGTGAACCCCAAGACCCTGGGGAGAAGAGGGACACAGCCCTGACCCAGCCCTCGGGTAGCTAATGGCCACCCTATCTGCCCAGCCCACATGGGGCATTAGTGCCAGGATAGTCGGCCAGGGTACGGGGCCCTGGGGTGGGGTGGCCATGCTCCCCAAAGTGGCCTTCTGTCCCCAGGCACACTGAGGACTCTCCTCCCAGAGGCTAGGAGTGTAAGAACAAGAAGTTCTCTCTTGCCCTAGCTGGTGTGGCTCAGTGGATAGAGCGTCTGCCTGCAGACTGAAAGGTCCCGGGCTCGATTCCAGTCAAGGGCACATGCCTGGGTTGCAGGCTCGATCCCCAGTTGGGGGTGTGCAGGAGGCAGCCGATCAATGATTCTCTGTCATCAATGATGTTTCTATCTCTCTCTCCCTCTCCCTTCCTCTCTGAAATCAATAAAAATCTTTTTTTTTAAAAAAAAGGGAAGTTCTCTTACCTGCAAGGCTCCGCTCATGTGGCCTCCTCACCCAGGACGCCTCCCCTGCCCGTCCGTTCGCTCCACAAACACTGCCTGTGCATCTCCTGGGCTCGCAGCTCCAGTGTGGACGGTGACCGGAAACAGCTGCTGCCCTCACATTACTCAAGATCTGGCGGGGGAGACGGCTCGTAATCAGATGACTGCAATGGAGTGAGGTCAATGTGTAGAGCTCGGGGGGCTTCCTGGAGGAGGTGGCCCCCCAAGCTGTGTCTTCAAGGAGAATGAGGAGGCTAACCGGTTGACAAAGGGTAAGACACCAAGCCCTACTAGCTACCTACTTGTTTTTATGTGTTTCCATGAGCACAGGAAACAGTTAGGAGGCTCCACCTACCACTGGTGACCCTCCAGGGGCTGGAGAAGAAGAGGGGCTATTATTTCTTTATTCTCTCCTCTGTTTGAATAATAACAACTAATACGAATACTACTTCGGCAATTTTAGGGGGCAATAGAACGTCAAGGAAAATGTGAGGGAAGGAGAGAAATAAACACTGGGAGACAAGTGGGTCCGTAGCAAAGAGTCTAAAACTAATGATTTCTCTACAGAGGGAGGAACGGCTTTTACCCAACGCCTCTGCTGTTTCCAAACTGCCCCCGAGACGCTGCCCAGAGCGGAGTGGGGTGAGCAGTTCTCCCCGCCTTGAGGCGACCGAGACGTGGAAGGGCCGGAGACCACAGGGCGCCCGGGTGGCCACCCTAAGCCGCGCCCCACCTGCAGCACCTTTACAAACCTGTCATTGTGCAAAGTTTCAAAGCCCCAGAAAAGTTCCAAGGGCGGGACAATGGCCTCCCCACGCCTTTATCCAGGCTCACGTTGTCCACCTCTCCTTCCCCTCCTTCCCCCGCTGTGGAGCTGTACTCCTACCCACAGGTCTATTCCTATGAAGCATCCGGCAGCCACTGCAGAAATCATGGCATCTCCCCCGAAACGCCGTGACTTTCATCCCGTAAGACCACGGCTGTCGTGACAGAAATCACCACGCAATGGCCAGAACCGGGGAGTGGGGTCGCTGGCACAGTTCAGATTCCTGTATCACCGGCTGTCGCCAGAAGGTCCCTTGCGGCACAAGGATTCTTTTCCTCGCCCGGACCTGAGCAGGACTCGAGCACCGATTAAAGAGCAGCTGTGTGCGGGATGCGGCCGCGTCCCTGTCGGTGGGACCCTGAACCACACACTTTCCCAGAAGAATCCAGTGAAGAAAAGAAGCGTCGGGGGAGAAAGAACGGCTTTTGAACGGTCACAGGGCAGCCAGCTGCAAGGGACTCTGGGCACGGCCGTGAGGGGCAGAGTCCCCAGCTGATGTCAGCCCTGACCTCTAGCTTCATGTCTAAACAACACAAGCCACACACCTGATGGTGGGGCCCCCCCGTCCTTGGGAGCCGGCAGGCCATGACGCAGAAGAGCGGGGGATCTGGGCTCGCACCTCTCAGCCTAGTCCCTCTGGGTGGGGGGGGTCACACAGCCGCTGTGGGCCTCAGTTTCCCCACCTGCAGGTCCCTTGGAGCAGTGACGGGTGCTCCTGACCTCCCCGAAGTCTCTCCAAAAAGGACTTCTGGGAGCGGGAAGCCCCCCACACCTGGCCCACACCCTCATCACCAATCTGGTCCCTGGGCATTCCCAGCTAAACCATGAACCCAGCTCCTGCTCAACGCTTGCTGAGACCAGCTTCTTCTGTCACCACCACCACCACCATGTGTCCCCCACTGGCCACTTCCTCCCCCTCTGCCCCACCCCATGCAGCCCCACCTGCCCCTTCGTCCACAGCCACCCTGACCCAGGTCCCTTCATCCTGAGACTCCCACTACCTTTCTGAGGGTCAGAAAACAGTAAACTACATTTGCAGACCATCCATGGCTCCCACCGCCCTCGGGGTGAAAACCGAACTCCTTGCCTGGAAAAGGCCCTGCCCCAGCTGTTCCTCCCCTCCCCACACCATGGATCCCTCACTCTCCTCACCCGCCAGGCCAACCCTGGTCAGAGAGCAGCACCCTGACGGGGGGCGAGTGGCGTTCTCTGAGGGACTGCTGAGGCCATGCGGGCTCAGAGAGGTCGAGGAACTGGCCCGAGGTCACACAGCTCAGGAATGATGGAACCAGGGCACAAGCGGGTGAGTTCTGAAACAGGCCCCCTCATTCCACATAGAAAGTAAAATGTTCTGGCGGCACAGGTCTCTCCACGGCTCTGTCTCGGGGCGGGAATGGAAGGGACTAGAACAGCAGTTCAAAGGGCGGTGGGAAGACCATTGAATACTGTCCCTTTTTCCTTTTTGCTATACTTTCATTAACTTTGCATAGTTTTATGTTCACGGTGGGGAAATAACGTCCAGAAATTGGTAGGCGCTAAGTCAGTGGTTCTCAATCCTCCTAATGCCGCGACCCTTTAATACAGTTCCTCATGTGGTGGTGACCCCCAACCATAAAATTATTTTCGTTGCTACTTCCTAACTGTAATGTTGCTACTGTTATGAATCGTAATGTAAATATCTGATATGCAGGATGTACTTTCATTGTTACAAATTGAACATAATTAAAGCACAGTGATTAATCACAAAAACAATATGTAATTATATATGTTTTCTGATGGCCTTAGGCGACCCCTGTGAAAGGGTCGTTCGACCCCCAAAGGGGCCTCGACCCACAGGTTGAGAACCGCTGCACTAAGTGAAGAGTCCCGCTAGCACCTCCCTGTCAGTCCCGCGGACACGCCGTAGAGGTGATGGGACCCTGGTGGCCTGACCCGTGGAGGACCCCCAGGTGGCGGCGCCGGCACGATTCCCACCTGCTCCGCCCAGGCAGATGGACGCTGCTGGACCACCTGCCCGCACCTGTGGCTGCTGCCAGCCCTCGGCTGTCTGCTCCTGGAAAAGGCTCCGGACTCAGGGCTCAGACTTCTGTTCCCAGCGAAGGTCACAGCGGCCTCCTGCCATCCTCTCAGGTTATGAGAGCGAGCATGTGTTCATTCAGTGATCGTGTGGAATCCCATCAAGACCCGTGTCCTCTCCAAACCTCAGTCCCCTCATCCGTGTAAGACAGTAGTAATACTGACTATCCGCACGTCTGTACCCGAAACTCCTCTTAGAGGATGAGGTGCCCTGCTCGGTGCACACCATGGTGAGGAGAATGACCACGTCCTGAGGACCAATTCAGTGCCAGATACTCTCCTGGGCGCTGAGGATGAAGCCATGAGCTAGCCCAGTGCTGCCTGGCGAGCCTGGAGGTCCAGTGGGAGAGGAAGCACGATAAATCCCTAAAGGGCTTGAACTTGACCTGACGGGCAGCAGGGAGCCATGGTGAGGTTTATGCCTGGGAGGACAAGGTCAGACACCTGTGCACTTCAGACCAGCTGCTCAGGATCCACACGGAGGGCTACCTGGAGGAGGCCCCCTGGCGGCATAGACAACTCTCTACCTGCCACTCTACCCTCATCTGGCGGGGGATGAAGAAGCCTCGGGTGAGCCACAGGGATATGAACATGGGACAGGGAAGAATTCCTAAAGCTCGAGTGATTGTACATTTTAATCTATTTTCAATCTCTCCACACATTTACCCAGTTCCCATCACTCCTACCCGCCCACTCAGAACCGGGCAGCGGGGCCAAGGAGATCACGGGCTGGGAGGTGACACCGCCCTGCTTGCAGGTGGGAAAACAGAGGCGCTGAGGCTGGCCCACGGCTCCACTGAGCATGCAGAAGACGGGGGGTGTGAACCCAGATCTGTCAGGCCCTGGGCTTGCTTCACCATGTCCCCCAGTAATCGAATGTCCTGGCAGCGTTGACAGCCTGGTGGCCAGAAAGAGCTGAAGTCTTTCCAAGTGGCAGGCCAGGGACAGCCCTTGTCATGACCTGTGACCCCTGCCTGGACACCCCCTGCATCCCGAAACCACACAAGGGCCTTGGGGAGGGAGAGGTGTTGGTTATCAGACGTCAGGCTTCCCACAGGAGAAATATTTAGCAAACATCGATGTGAGAAGGAGTGAGCTCCAGACATGGAAGAGACATCAAGCAAGGCCATCTGGCCCCAGCTCCCCGCCGTACAGATGGGACACGGGGCCCAGAGAGGGTGTGTCTAGTCCAAACGCACAGGGAGGCAGGAGGTGAGGCAGCCTTCTCACTCCCCGTCCTGCACGCTCTGGCCCTGGCTGCACACTTAGCCGAGTGAAGGTCTATAAGCCACGCCGCCCCCTGCTCCAGGAAGCCCTCCAGGATTGCCAGGTCTCCTGTCCCTGAAGGCCGGGCCTCCCCAAAAAGCCTGGACTTCATGTTGGGCAGACCCAGGGTGGGGTCCTGGCTCCATCCCTCACTGCCTGTGCGCCCTGCATCCGGTCATGTCACCCGAGAACAGCCACAGCAGAATGCCTGCGTTCCTCCCCTCCAATGCCGCTAACCACACCACCGCCTTCGCAGGGCCGGGAAGCTCGGGGCTCCGTCGGCCTCCACGCCTCACTGCACGGCCATCCTTCTGCCCCGCACCCCGCCCTCTCCTGTGAAGCTCCCACCACCCCAAGGTCAAGTCTGTGCAGAGAGGAGGTCAACCCGAGCCTCAACCCGACCCCGCCCTTCCGCTTCAGGTGCATCTGGGCCTCACTGCCCACCACTGACCTTTAAAGGGGAGCCTGACTCCTCCTTTTCCGCTTCCTGTCCCCAGCCTCGCCCCGCCCCCTGGCAACGCCCAGCACCTGCTTCCGGCCCCGCCCCTGGTCACGCCCAGCACCTGCTTCCTGTCCCTAGCCTCGCCCCGCCCCCCTGGCCAAGCCCAGCACCTGCTTCCTGTCCCTAGCCTCGCCCCGCCCCCCTGGCCAAGCCCAGCACCTGCTTCCTGTCCCCAGCCTTGCCCCGCCCCCCTGGCCACGCCCAGCACCTGCTTCCGCCCCGCCCCTGGTCATGCCCAGCACCTGCTTCCTGTCCCCAGTCTAGCCCCGCCCCCTGGCCACGCCCAGCACCTGCTTCCGGCCCCGCCCCTGGTCACGCCCAGCACCTGCTTCCTGTCCCCAGCCTCGCCCCGCCCCCTGGCCACGCCCAGCACCTGCTTCCGGCCCCGCCCCTGGTCACGCCCAGCACCTGCTTCCTGTACCCAGCCTTGCCCCGCCCCCTGGCCACGCCCATCACTGCTTCC